CGAGCCACCGTGCCGGTACATTCTGCAAGTTGTTTTAAAATTTGTCACTTTGTTGTAAGATATTTTGGTTAGGGACAGGAACACAAACATGCTCACATACAGATAAAGGCTAAAACATTGTCATAAGAACAAACAAAACATTTTGCAAGATGCTAATTTATTCAACCATAAATGAAAACTGATTCTGGGAGAAATATGAATTTAATAAGATGAGCAAAGTTAAGTAAAGATGGTAGAGAGGTCACATGAGTTCTGAGCTCATCCTCACAGAGACCTGCTAACGCTGTGCAGCAGAGAAGAGCTGCACTGTAGCACAGCAGCTAAATTCCTCTCAGCTAACCTGGTTTGACCTGCCTTATATGTGAGACACATTATTCATTTCTGCAGCATGAAGACACGTTCTTCTAAAGCAGGGGTCTTCACTGTGCAGCTTTCATTTTTATTTGTAATATTGTAAAATGAAACAATAATTTTAGCCGTTTATCAGTCTAATCTGTCACAATGTACTCACAGTTCCCCTCTGCAGCCAGTCGATGAGAGCCTGAGCCGTTTCTGGGGGCAGCTGAGCTCTGAGGCCGTCTCTCTCCTCCTGGTTGGCCTGAAGCTCCAGAGCGAGTCTGAGCTCCTCGGCCAACTGGACCACCTGGATCGGACCGGCGCTGACCGGCGAGCCCAGCTCATACACGGTGCTGGAGAACTCCATGGCTGCTGCTTTGGAACCTGACGGAACAACGAGAGCAGCTCGCTTAACACGAAAAACTGAATGTGATCAGGGAGACCCATCCTTCTGAAATGTTCCAAAATGTTCACGTGTTTGAGCCCCAATCTGCCAAACGTTCTACCTTTAAACATGGCTACCACTTTACGACAAAGCTCATAAATAGGTTGTTAATTCATCTGTAAACACTTTATAAATCATTAATAAGTGTTGCAGGTTATGTTTTTGGTCACGTCCGTCCGTCAGCGGACAAAATCCCTCAACAACTTATGGACAGATTTTCATGACATTTTTAGCACAGGTGGGTATTGGCCAAAGGAACACACCATTAAATGTTGGTGATGATCTGGATCACGATCCAGATCCAGGAATTCTTTGAAGGATTCTTCACTATTGCAGGATAGGGGAAATTGGCCTTGGCGGAGGTTTGCGCTCTCCAAGTGCTTCTAGTTATGCATTAATTAAGGAGGAGAAAGAGACAAAACTGTCTGATTTCTTGCCAAATAGTGATCTAAATTGGATCATGTACAAATTACATCTAAAAGGTGCTATATCTATATTTAACATATCAGGTTTTAGGAGAGAAAAATCTCCTGCCTCGATGTGAATCAGAGCCGAGTGTTTCTACGAGACACATCAATAACTTTATTCCATCTTTCGGTAACTTGTGAAATTACATCAGCTATGGGTGTGGTCAGAGATTCAGAACTAATATTTATCTCCGGGAGCCGTAGCCACTTTAAAAGATCAACAACAAACAGGAGACTTCACATTATTATCTAACAAGCAGACTGCGAGTATAACATGGCCAGCATATCTRAACTCTGGTGATAAGTGGCTCTAATTTCCTTGTTAATGATTGGCTGATTTGATCACTAATGGGATTTTTAATGTATTTCTATTTGCGGTCAGAGAGAGCGGAAACGGCGAGCTCGGAGCACTCAGCGTGTTTCGGTCAAACAGCAGCAGAGGTAACTGAAAACCCCGTCTGTTTGAAAACTTCTGCCTTTTTTCCTAATTATTCATGTCGATTAGAGAAGCAGCTAAAAAGAGTGAAAATGATTTCTAATTCAGCAGCTCGCTGAATCTTTCATGTGTGTGATACAACGAAATATAATGTAGTTTGCTATAACAATTTTCTATTTTTCTTATTTCTAAAAATATTCTCGTAAACCATCTCTATAAATGACTTCATCCAGACAAAAATGACCTGTAATGATAAGAGGCTGTGTCAGGTTTGCATGTGACTGGCTCTAAAAACACCAAAAACAGGAAACAAGGTGTGAAGCGTGCAATGTAAACACAAGAAGAAGAAGACRACCGTGACCTCGCCGTGCTATGACATCATCGTTTACTGAAGGTTATGTTTGGTCCGTCTGCATAAAAAAAATGAAAGGTTAGAGTTTCGAGTTTTTTTTATTTTTATTTTTAATTTTTACTTTGGAACCTTTTTTTTCTGATTATGAAGTTATTAAGATGTCAATAGTGCATGTTCACATTTTAGCATTTTATTATCAATAATATTGTTTGCGTGTATGTGTCTGTTTTTCCCCAGTTCCTAAAGCATTGTTTCCATGTGGACAGGAGGTTCAAAAAAAAAAAAAACCTACAAAAAACTGTTTTTGAGGATGAAAACCATTAAATAAAACAATCAGAGGCGTCATGAGGCTGATTTTAAATCCTCAAAAGATGCAGAAGATTAAGTGAAATTATTACTTTTTCTGTCCCAATGTGACAAAAACTATTTAACTTTGGCTTTTAGAGAGYGTTCTGCCTCCATATGACCTTTTAGCTCCTGTGTTACTGAACAGAGCCTTTCTTTGTTCCCACATCACATTGATGGATAACATTAAACATTTACTCTGTTAGTCTAATCTTTCATATTCAAGGCTGCAGCAAACACAGCCCTTTTTATACATAAAGAGCTCACACATGCAGATAAAACAACTGGAACAGAGGGAATCTTCTGTTTTCCACTCATTAATCCTGCTGTCAGACCGATGTTTTTGTCAATTCTTCCTGTGGAATTGAACTGTCCTCCTTTGATTGTTTWAATAGCTTTTTTATTTTTGAAAATTATGAATCAGTTACAGTGCAGCACTAAACTAATTCAACTTTTCTACTTTTATTGACTAAACMAAACAAAAAAATGTTCCAATTTTGACAAAAAACATGCATTATTTCATGTTTGAAATGTATTTTGCTCTCTAGAATCTGTGAAAACTAAGTAAATTTTCTAAATATAAGTGTTGCTACAATAAACCTTTTATTGTAACAGATCTGAAGACATTAATYCTCAGATCTGTTGGTTTTGTTAACGTTTCATCCTTGGATTATTGTTAAAAATGGGATTCAAGATGTGAAACTAAATGACACGCAGAAAAAAAAGAACACCTGCTGCAGGTGACTTCTACCTGCGATGATGTCGTCCATCTGCTCCAGCGCCGCCTCCAGCATGTGACTGGCCTCTGTTTCCATGGTGGTGGCAGGAAGCATCAGACCTGCAGGTTTCTGCTTGGAAGACAAATAAAGAAAAGTGTGTTAAATAATTAAATATTTCTATTTAATGGTCTTTGTTTACAAGACAAAATGGTGACACAGGACTATTATAGAAACCAGGGTATGTGGACCACAATTCAATAACACATTTCTCTAAAACTGGCCAAAGAATCCGTATGAAAAAAACAGCATTTCAGGCCAAGAATAAAATAGTCTCATAATAATAGTAACTAGAATAGTTCCTGGAGAAACTATTTAAAACATCCAATTTAAAATGGGCACAAAGRAATTAGAAAAAAACAGAACCACAATAAAAATAAATAAAATGCACTAAAGATTTAAAAACATTTTGAAGAGTTTTAGGGATGTTGAAAAAGTGTCAGGAATAGCTTTGACAGCCATCTTGGATTTGTTTTCAGCTCCAGCAGGTGACAGAGCTCACTCCCAACTACCAATATACCATTTTTAGCTCAATATATCAAACACTGGCTGAGTTAAAGCCCTTTGAAACTAGCTTTGGCCATCTTGGATTTTTTTTCAGCTACTGTTTGTGACAGAGCTCACTCTCAGCTACTTGTAACTTATTGCTCCAGGACCACAGTTACTGCAGGCCAACAGCGCAGGGGCCGAACATCCAGCAATTAAATTCATAAATAAACCAAGTATTGCAAAGATCTGTTTCCTTTGAAATAATTTATATTGCTGCATTTAATCATGAATACGACATAAAGAACCCTATGTAATAAATGTAGTGATAATAAAACAATATCAAAAACAAAAATAAACACATTCTGCCTCCTGTTTAACACAAATATTTTGACATCTATGACTTACCAAAATTTTAAAACAATTTTATTTTTACTTCCATAGTTTTATCTTCAACTATTTGTAATTTAACAGTTTTGGATGTTTATAGAAATGGTTTTTACCAGCTTTAAGATTCTGATGTTTCTGTAGATACCAAACATCTATGTCTAACTAAAATAATTTATTGTAATTAAAGTAGAAAACTGGGGGTTTGAACTTAAAGGGGCAATATCATACTTTTTGGAGTTTTATATCACATTATAATGTTATACTCTCATAAAAAACATGCCCAAAGCCTTGCTCTGACTCATTCTTGCATGTTTGAGAAATCCTGCAGCGTTTTTAGGAAACCATGCTGAGGAGCAAAATGACAGGTGGGGACCAGAAACACCCCTGGGACGTGTCTTTAAGAGATGAATGAACCAATTGGCGGGCCGCATTTTGGTCAGTCGCAAGCYGGATTTGGCCTGCGGGCCGCCAGTTGGATAGCCCTGTACTAGTGTATCAGTTTATAGCTCATTATATAGAAATTTGTCTGGAAGAGAGCCTTTTTTACATTAGCATTAGCARTTAAACTTGCAATTCAAGTACAGTATATATGATATAAAATATAGGGATCCTTTTTTCTGAGGTGGATAAAAATAGGTGCCGCCAATCAATTGAATGGAGTCTCTCTCATTTTATTGACAAGCCCTAATAATGGTTGTCAATCCATTAAATAAGTGTGAGCACAGAAGAACCATTTACTTATTTTAGTTAGGTGAAACTGATGTTGAGGTCACACAGGAACATCCTACAGACAGCACGAAACACCAGGACCGACCGACTCTTCGCTCGTCATTTATTCCTCCAACTTCCTGCCATTCACCCTGCTCGAGCCCCTCATCCTTCTGTCAGGCTGTCAAAACGACTCACTGACAAACACACAACACGCGCAAAAGCAAGAGGAAAGGGYGGTGATGTAATCCACTGATGCCCTGAGAGAATAAACCCCCCACAACGCAGACTAATGTTCATCCACATTAGCACCAACTTCCACTTCATCATCAAGGCTCACGCTGACACTGAGCATCAAACGCAGCTCGTAGGATCACAGTTACATKCTGCTGTCATGACTTCTCAGCCAAAGCTTTTCATGGTGCATTAGTGAGCATAAATAGCAACGGGTGCGATTAAGAAAAGCCTCGTAATTCCATTACAATCAAAAACGCATCAATATTATGAGTCTTGTTGGGACTGAGGGTGACGGCACCATTCAAATACGACGACAGACTGATTCTGTTTAACAGCATCGTGACACCAGTTGACCTCAACAGAACAGCATGGCCTTTGTCTTTACAGTGTGTGTGTGTGTGTGTGTGTGTGTGTGT